GTTTCTTGTCCCTGCTGCTGTAAGGCAGAGCAGGGAGCCGATGGTGGTCCATGCAACAAGATGCTCTCTTCAGGTGGAGGGAAGCTGCGGTGCCAGCTCTTGTGCCTTGCTGGCGTGTGCCCCTCAGCAGGGGACGGTGGACCCGGCTCCGCTGGCGCTGTGGGTGCCAGGAGCTGCACGAGCCCATGGCACTGGTGTCCTGCCAGGCTCCTGCGGCTTGTGCTGGGTTTTGCGTGCCTAGGACAGAACACAAAGCTGTCATGGTGGCTGGGTTTGTGAGTTGAACTCCCTGGTGGGAATTGGTCAGAAGCTCATGTTTGGAAATGCCTCTGAAGGCGTTTGGTCCCTGCCAGGGTGGGGGGCTCCCGGCTGGCCTGCTTGGGGCCTGGCTGGCAGAGCGCTGAGGGGCGGAGGGGTCCGGGAAGGCTGGACATCCTCCACAAGGACATGGTGAAGGTGCGTGAGCCGCCCGTCCCCCTGTGCTGAGAGGACGGTGCTGAGCAGAGGCTGCAGGGCACAGAGCAACAGAGCACTCGTCTGTATTTCTGCAGCAGGAACTGCCCCAGGCTCCCTGCCAGCCCGTCCTCTTTCTGTTCCTTAGGGGTGTTCAGAAAGAGGTTGTGTTTCCTTGAGCAAAATAAAGGGAGTTTCTAGATCTCCTAGACCAGTACTACCTGGGCCAGACTGTGATCTGATAGGCATTGAGAAAAATACCCAACCAGCATCACAGAAAATACAACAAACCATTTTGCTATCTGACCCTAGAGAAAAGTTACACTGATAACGCTGCTTAATGGGATTTATGAAGACTCGTTATCTATGGGTTTTCTTTCTAATTGGTTTGTTGCTTATGAAGTTATCTCTGGCAGTACTTGTAAGCATCTTGCTGTTATGTATGGCCTTGGAAAGTATCTTTCAGGGAAAAACACCGGCAGAGAGAAGAAGAATATTCTTGAAACCCCCTTCACCAGTTACCTGTGTCACAGAAAGTTTTTTTGTTTTTTTTTTTTTTTAAAGGAGATAATCAGTTGGCATGCATTGAACTTGCAGTGCTGAGTTTGTCACATCCCGGTAAGATCTTCCAAAGCTCTGACTGTGTGTCCTGTGACAGTAATGCTGTTGTAAAATAGTTCAGCCTAAATGAAGCAAAATCTAGTCTAATCAATTTTGAGTTGTTTTTAAAGCCTGGTTCAAAATTATTTTCTTAACAAAATGCAAAAAGAATTTTCTCATAGTGTCAAAAACACTGATAAACAAATTCAAAAGTAAATAGAAAATAAAAGCTGCAGATTTTCTTTCCAGGCTCTCCTGAAGGCTTGGGTACCCAAAGCGGGTAGAGGAGAGCCTGCAGAGGAGACTCAAGCCTGGGACCGATTCGGGGGTTATGAAGGCAGCTCAGCCAGTACGTGAGTGGGTCTGTGGGAGATGATGGAACTGAACAGTGAAAACAGAGTGATGGGGCTGGGTTTATGCCCCCAACCGAGGCACCTATACTAAGAACACAGACAAACAGTTTAAATGTCCCCTACAGCCAGCAAAGAGAGAAGCTGGTGTTGTGATCAGGAGTGCTTGGCATCATCCTGCTCTTGGGAAGGGTGAACTGCTGCACCCGGGCTGTCCACAGTGACGCGGGGGCTCTGTGGCAATAGCGCCTGCACTTCCTTACATCTGTCTGGACACCCCGTGTGCTGTCCCCGGCTCAGCTGTCTCAGGGCTCCTTTAACTGGCAGCGGCAGCCAAAGCTGGGCTGTGTCCCGCAGGAACTGCAGGGAACAAATCCCCCAGCATTGGCGGGAGCCTGGTATGGGGATCCTCCTGGGACTGATGTCAGCTGAAGCTCTAGGTGCTTCACAGACAACACAAATGAAGTTCTCTGCAATAAGCCTGTGTGCAGCCTTGGGGATTGTTGGATCCAGCGCTCTCTGCTTGCAGGCAGCCAGCTCGCATTATCCTGTTGAAGAATGCATTGAGTTGCACCCTTGAGTGAAGTCCTGTGACTTCACAGTTTCTACTGTGTAACAAATCATTTCACCCATAACTGTAAAGCCAACATTGCCAGAAAACCTGCCTATTTGCCATAAAAATGGAATAAATGGGTCTAATCCATCAAAATATAGTGAGGGTTGTTTTGTTTTGTTTTCTCTTGACATTTGAGAGCTAGCCTTTAAATTGCTTATTTACAAATAAATGTCTTAAAGATGTTCTTCGGCTGCTTGCTTTGGGGAGTGGGGTGGTCCTGCTTGGCTGTGCGTGACTGCAGCATTATCTGTCCATTCTGCATGTGGGAAACTCTTCCCTCTGCAGCACGGTCTCGGTGCTAACTTCACAGCTGTTTTCATAACCAGGGACCCTGTTGTAGACTAATGGCCCAGGCATTGTTTTCTGCTGAAGCTTTCTGAAAAACAGGAAGCTGGCCTCCTCAGATGAAGGTACAGTGGCCCCTGTGTTCTGCTCCTGCAAGCTGGATCAAGCTGCAACTAAGAACAAAAGAGCAGAGAAGGCAAAAAATATTGTTTCATTTCTTTTCTCTACTTACAAATTTGGATGGAATGCAGGGATTGGCTTCCCAAAGAGAGAATTGTTTCGAATTTTCTGCACCTGAAATCTCGCTGGTGAGTCCGTGTGACATTTCAAGAAACAGCATCCTGAACCACTTAGGGATGTACTGCAATGACTTGTCAGCAGGTCAATGAGATTAGATCTAGATGGGGATTGTGATTTACAGAAATGGAATGAACAAGACCTTCAAATTTGAAGGAGGAGAACATTTCACTGAGAACAGATAATCTGAATTTTTTTCTGACGTGCGCAGTTTAATCCTTCTAGAAGGTGTTTGTATCCACATTTCCCTCTAAGTGCCACGTCTCCAGCGCTCAGCTAAAAGACCTCGACAGTGGGCATGCAGTAAAGGGTGGGCTCCTCTGATTTTTGCAAACTTGTCTTGCAGCTCTGCAGACCAGGTGACGGTGCATTTTATAAACCGGGATGGAGAGCGGCTTACGGCCACAGCCAAAGAAGGGCAGAGTTTGCTGGAAGTGGTAGTCAATCAAAACGTGGCCATTGATGGATTTGGTAGGTGTTACACAAGGGTATGAGATCTTGGGGTTTTTGTGTCTGCGGTGTGACCAGGGTACCTGGGAACAGTGCAGCTGTAGACATGCGACTGTCCTGGTGAGACCATGGAGCCAGCTTCTCTTCCCCAGCAGCTGCTTGCTGGGCTGGCTACCACCCTGAGATGGCAGTGTGACTTCCACACTGTCGCTGCTGGGATTCCAGTGGCCTGTGTCAGTGCGTTTGGTTAGAGCTGGTGTACAAATGAGAAGACTGCTGGTGATCCTCCCACAGAAGAGGCAGGCTGAAATCCACATCCATCTGTTGTGTTTTCTGGCATCGCTTTTCACATGCTCCAGATCTGCTGAAGGACCTTTTCCCACACTGTTCCCAAAGATGATCTCTCTCACCCCCTTGTTTTTCCTGATCTGCTGTCACTCCCTTGTTTCTCCACCAGGTGCCTGTGAAGGGACGTTAGCCTGCTCCACCTGCCACCTCATCTTTGAGCAGGATGCCTTCCAAAAGCTGGGTGCCATCTCGGATGAGGAGCTGGACATGCTGGACTTGGCATACGGGCTCACTGAGACGTAAGCCTCCCTGCTGATTGCAGCAGATTCTCAAGCCTCTGAGGCAGATTCTCAGTGCCTGGCACCTGTTTCCAAGGGGATGGGACTTATCCTGTATTGTGGTTGTGCCTCTGGAGCTGCTTTCTCTTGGGGCACAGGAGGCTTTTAACAGGAACTTTAGTGAAAACCCAGCCCGGACCACACATCCCAATGCGGGTGGGGAATTTATTCCTTTACTGTGGGAACAGATGAGCCTCACTTAATGTTTTCTCCTCAGATCTCGCCTTGGCTGCCAGGTGTGCATTAAGAAGTCGATGGATGGTCTGACAGTGCGAGTCCCCATGGATGTATCAGATATCAGGAGGCAGCAAGAGGTTGGAAAGCAAAGCAAACAGTAACTGGAAGAGACTCCTGCACAACTCACGTCCTGGTTTTAGGTGTGGCAGGGTGCTTCGCTTTTGGTTACACTATTGCTTTTTGTGGCTGGCTTGCAGCAGACCCCAGAGGTTTGATGCAGCATAAATGCCTGTTGGGCAGATGATCTGTTTAAACAAAGCTTAGTGCTAGGGTCTTTGGTACGTGCTTTAACTTAAGTGCTTAAGTGCTCTGCTGCCTGCAACTGGACTAAAGCTGTGGCTTTACATTTCCCTGGGCGGCAGACAGTAAACTTCTGTGCTGTATGTGACTCGCCCTCTCCTTTGAAATTTAAGGAATTCTGCTGTTCTAAGTAACTGCTGGGAATTTTGCAAGGTGTGGCTCTTTAACTGCAGAGCAGATTTTTCCCAATTTGGGAAGTTCAAGAAAAGATACCCTGTCGTGCCCTGGGGACAGCTGCTGAGCAGCCCTGGGATCCGGGCTGAGCCTGGTGACAAGGACAGACCGATAACCGTCGGAATGGTGAGGCTTCCAGCCAGAGGGAAACGCTCTCTAGGAATCTGCAGTGTTACAGCTCCCCGAATGGTTCTGTGCCATCAGCTGCTGCTCACTGAGCGTTCCCGTGGCTGTGCTCCCCCATACATCC